TATATATCTGAAAACAACAGAAGCTGATGAAGAAACCAGTGATGGGGATAGGGCAATTAAGGTAAATATTTAAAATCTGAATTTAAAAAAAAAAACTGCCAAGGAATGAGCAAAATGCAGGCTGGTTACATTTTTTTTAAAAGGGGACCAGGAGACTAGGTTTGCTAAATTCCAACCAAACTTTCTTTCCTTTCTGCTTTGTTTAAGGAAAATAACTGGATTATGCAGCCTTTTTTTAAAAAGGGGAAACAGGAAGACTTGAAAAAAACACTTGAAAGTCATTAAAGTTAGTTAAAAATAGAACAAAACAAAACAGCATCTTTGGAAAGTTGTTTGCAGTATAAAGGACTTCAGAAAAACCCAGTACCCTCACTACTTCTTTCAGGAGACGATTACTCAGAGTCCTGAGATGACTTGCCAAGATGAGAAAAGACGCCAGTACATGAGCCACACTTACCAAAGACCCATGCGCTCAGATTTGCCTTCATTGAGAAAAGCAATGGAAGCAAGAAAAGAACTTGGGCATGAAAGAGAAAAGGGGAATGAAGACCAAAAAGTCAGCCACAACCTGAAAGATGGTGTCTGAGGAACTGAATCTTTCCCTCCAGAAATCAGGAGGCCTTGCCTTGACCCCTCGATGGACAACTTTCCAGCTTACAATAAACCGTATTGGAGTTTTTGCATCGGCATCCTGGACGATTGATCCAGTCGTAACACCCACGACACAGTTTCAGGCATCCTTTCGCAGGAGGGTAACAGAGCAGGCAAGGAAGAAACAAAGCCATGGCCCCCATGCATAAGTACCGTGACCAGCAATGTGACTGGGAGCATGAGCAAGGACTATCCGCATATGAGTCCCCTTCATCATCGTTGGAACAGTGGTAGAAGATTCCTTTGACCAGACACATACAGGTGCTATATTCCACCATGCTCTCTGCTGAACACAAGCACTGCCTGTTGCAGGCCAAGCAAGAAGGCAAGGCCCTGGGTGCTGTGCATTCTCCACATTTGCACTTCCCACACTGTTCACATATGAACTTATGCTGTGTAGAATCCTCTTTCAAAGAACTCTTCAGGTCATCTACAATCAAAGATGATGGCTTGGGTTGCGTCCTGATTGGCCTTTCAGATCTCTGACCCGGGCCCAGCCTTGATGGCGGTGATCTTAACAGAAGGCCCTGCTCTGAAGAAGCACTGCTGTTGCTTCCAGAACTAGCTGCACTTCCAGTGCTTGTAGATCTATTCAACACAGGAACCCTTGAGCTGTGTTGATGTATCACATGTCCAGGATGGCTGGGTCTGGGCTCATAATTATTATTCACATTTATTGGTAAGATTTCATGAGTCCTTTCATGTTTTTCTTGTCTTGGAGCCGTCTGTGGAGCAGACTTTTTCACCACAGATGGGCCTTCAGTGTATTCATTGCTGCCCCTGAGCGTCTTGATCTGGTCCAGTGACAAGATGGCAGTGGGCTGAACATCTCTTTCATAGTCCAACCTTTGCCGGTTATCCAGCAAAAGCTGCTGATGGACAACTAATGAACTGCTGTTGCCATGCTGACCTGTGGACTCCATCGGTAGTGGTCTCTAATTCTGGCATTCACCAGGAACTGGGCATGCATCTGAAATCCTAAAAGAAAGCGGGAAAAATTGGAAAGAGGAGTAAGTTCCCAGAAGCTTTGGGGGAGGAAAAAATCAAACATTTTACAGCAAGCCACAATATTGCCCCAACATCCTAATAGCAACATCTCAAGACAGATAGAGGCATTACCCTGAGTTAGGCACTGAAATGTGCACCAGTTTAGATGACAACATAAACAAAATATACTGAAAGTCTTCTTGCAGTTAAAAAACCCTAAACATTTTCCTTTTTAGTAAATTGTAATGTCATTTCATTTATAAGCATAATATTATGACACTACGCATACATATTATGGTTACACTGTGTTTGATCAAAGGTAGATTCTTCCCTGTCTCACATGCTAACCCAAAAGTAGTATAATTACTTCTGCTCCATTGCCACCAATTATCAGCAGATTGCAACATAAAACATGCAAAGCCACACCAAGTTTCAGGGCACATTCTGAAAGACTGGTAGAACACATTCAAATTCTAAACAAAAGGAGATTTGAAAATTCTTAATTGGATTTTTGGTAGGCTGTTTTACTTGTCAAAGCTGCATACTAAGACCATTCTTTATTTTAAACATTGTGAGCATAGCAGTATTTTTAGTTGTAATTCCATGATGCCTCAAGCCAATTAGCAATGGGAAAAGTATGTGAATTATTTCTGGGTAGTGTGCGTTTATATAATGTATACACATACATACATATAATGTCTAGCGCTTGTTAGAGCAAAACACCAGATGTAAACAACATCCTGTTACACAACATCTTTCCAAGTGCCCATGGACCATAAGGCAGGGTGTGAAAGGAGGTGGAGGAAGGAAAGGATATCAAGAGAAGAGATAGGCAAATAACCTGTGACGTTTATCAGATCTTTGCAAATATATGTGCAGTTCTTTGGATAAAAGAGGTGCTAGAAAAGAGACACGAGCATGATGAGAACAGCATGCAGTAAACAAGATTCAAAACACTTCTTTTAATATTAATAAAAAGGAAGGTGGATGGGAAACTTGAATCTGTGCTTGCTTTCTTGAGACCATTGTGATAATATTTAAGACAGGTTTGGGGGAAAGTGCTCTGTAAAAAGAGAGAAAACCATTTTTGACAATGGCTACAACAAAACCAATTCTGAATAGGATGCAATCCACGATCTGGAAAATATCCTGAGAATTTCTCACCTGAGTCAATGAAAAATAAGGGATAATGCTAGGCAACACTTGACCAATATGGCCAAAATTTCACAAACTTTCAGTGTGCCAAGATTCTTTATCATACCTCAGCAAGAAAAAGCTGAAAGTCATCTAGTTTACAGCTGAGAAGAAATCTGAACTAAATACAGATCTAAATAAGGAAAATATTTTGCCTTATGACACAAGCCACATTACTTTTTATGTATTTAGTTTCCTGTATCTTATGTATTTTATCTATCATGTTGTGAGCTGCTTTAAAAAAGCCAAAGCAGTCAGAAACTGAGCTACAGCATTTGAAACTGTGATACGTATAATCATTATAAACTGAAGCTTATCATGTAAGAGTTATACAAATGAACTAAGTAACAGTTTGCTTTCAAGCAAAAAATGCTACCCCACCTTCCACACACATAGGGAAACACTATTATTTTTAATATAGACACACACATACACACTCTACAGGCCAGAACACCAATATAATCCATGCAATAACCTTTCCATAAAGTTCTAGAAACCATCCAAAAAATGCTACTAGGATAAAAGTAAAGAGGACCGGAAATTAGGTTGTTTTTTCTACTGTTGTGGGTTTCAGAAGTCTAAGTACACAAGAAACAACAAGATGGAGCAAAATTATTATTTTGCTCCTTCTTAAAAAAGAAAAGAGTTTACTTGGAAGTAAGGTCTGTATGTTCAAGAGTACTTCCTTTCTAGGACAGTGTTGTGTACTACAGCCTGATTCATAGAAGCAGATGGTTGCTGTTTTTTTAACCTAGAGAGTAAGCTGCATAATTGATACCAAAACCCAGGATTTTTTTTATAGCTTTAAGTCTTCGTGGGACTAAGCCTGACATGGTTCTTGATTTCGTTCATTACTAGCCTTCAGCACGTACAGAAATCTGCCTTGCATGGACTTGAGAGACACGGAGCAGCAGGCTGGTGAAACAGCGGCTGCACTGCCCACATGCAACCTGAGCTCAAAGGCAGCAGTGACTGCACGGCTGGATGGAAGAAGAAAAAGTTATGAATGAAAACAAGGGATTTTTTTCACCCCCATTTGCAGAGGAGGAGGGGAATTGACTGAGGTTACTATTACCTCAGGGGGGCGGACTTTTCAATACTTAAAGCTGCACTGCCCTCCCCTACCTTTCAAGACAAATATGGAAGATTTGTGTGTGCTAGTTTGAGCATGCAGGGATTCCCCCCTCCCTTTTCCCTTCAATGATTTCTAAGAAGGTGGGGGAAGGCGGGGAAGCCTTTTTATCTCTGCCTGAAACACCATTTCCTTTTTGTAGCCTCCATGCCTCTTCAGTGACCCACTACAATCTCACCCATACTGAAAGGGAAAATCCCTCCACTACTGACTACACGCAGTTCATGCACAGTATTTTTAAGACCTGCATTCACAGAAAAAACAGTGTCAGGGATTTTGTAGTAACCCATTTGCAACAAACAGTTGACCCTGCCCTTACGTAAAATCCACGGACTTAGTAGGGATTATTATGACATCCACCTGTCCTCAGCACACTTTACATCCACAGAACTGCATGCACCGCAGAGTGGAGCGCAAATTGGTGTGATTAAAAAAAAGAACCAATCCAATCACTTAAAAAAATCTGTTTTCTACAGCATATAAACATATAGCATATGGCCAGCACAAACACACAATCGTAGAGATTCCCTTCTGAACAGCATCTCTGCTGTTGAGAATATACATGGGAACCCTGACAGGGCTGGGCAGAACAACTTCCAGAAACTTCAGGGCCACTCTATGTACAAGCATGCAATACGGAGTAATAGTAAAAATAAGACCCCACCTGGTAACTTATTTCAGCAACATCCTGCCTCGGTAAACAACCCGAAATGATTTCGTTTCAGTGCCACCTATACCAAATGCGATCCAAGGACTACCTTAGAGCAGAGTTAAAGCAACCAGGCGGTCGCACCGGGACCCCCGAACAGATCTAAGGGTTGAGAAAGGGCATTCTCCTCCAGCCGCAGCAGCGGCAGGTCTCAACCCTTGATCCAGCCATCCCACCCTCTTTACAACATGCACGCCTATTCCTTGTCCGAAGCCACAAGTTCAGAGCCCAGCAAATCTCGGCTGGAAGACCTTCGAAGCCGCCGCTCTTTCAGCCGAGATCTCTCCGAACGAACCATCCAGCGACCGCAGCGTCACCCTCGGCTCCCCCTCCCCGCGCTGGGCCCACATAAAACTACGAGGAGATGGAAACGCCAGGGCACCTGCTAAATACCTGAGCGCCACACGTGCAAAAAAGGCAGCGAGAATCCATTTTGCAAGCCAAGTTAGGGCAAGAAAGGGGACGGGCACAAACTTACGTTTTTGAATGGCAAATCCGCGTGAAGGCACCTCCCTGCTAAGTTAGATCCATAAGGTAGCGTGCGAGGATCAGAGAAGTCTTACAGCGCAGGAAAACTCATTCCAGAGGGGAAGACCTTCTCGGCTCCCCCCAACCCTTGCTCTCCAGCTGTCGTCTGATCCGAGAGGCCAAGTTTGCTCCTCTTCGCCTTCCTTTCGATTCGCGCAGCGCGGTCACAAAATCCTGGTCTTCGAGCGAAAGGCTCCCCAACTCGCTCGCCCCCCAAACAGCTCGCCTTCTGAAGCACAAACATTCAAAGGGGTATCTGCTTACATTGCACGTCCCTTCCCTGAAACGAGCTGTTTGGGAAGTTTTCTCCGAAGAGCAAATCCCAAAGAAGTTTCTTCGGTAGTCAGGAGAAGAGGCCGAACTGGTTTTGCAAATGCGAGCTACAGCTTTTCAATCGCACGCCGCATCCACACGGCCCCGGAGAGGGTCGCTCCTCAGCAGCAAACGACTTCGGGGGGGGGGAGAGGAGTAGCCGCCTTTTCGCGAAGCAAGCTTGCTGCGGCACGCTCAATTCTCCCTCCTGCCTTCCGCCAAGTTGGAGTTTTTCTTTTTTTCTTTTCCAGGCGCACGATTTTCCCCTCCCAGTCAAGCGCGCGTGTAGCAGATAAGTCCAACCACTTCCTCGACTCTAACCTTCTTTCCACCACATGGTCCTTGGCCCGCAGCTTTCCGCTCCAACCTTAAGCGAGTCAAAGTGCAAGGGAAATGCCTGGGGGAGGGGAGGAAATCCAACATCAATAAAAAATGCAACCAGGAGGCGCAAGACATCCTCGCGGGCATAACAGAAGAGGCGAGAAGCAAAGCTACCATGTGCTTCTTGGCGCAGCTTGGTTGACAGGCTGACTTCACCACCAACCTCACTGGGGGGAGGAGTAGCCCTCGAGATCCGCTGCGTCTCCGCTCTCCCTCTCTCTCACGCGCACACCCACACGTACGCACACAGATGGTCTTTGGGTCGAACACCCGTGCAACTCGAAAAGGTACAAAGGTTGCAAAAAGATTTCGGCGGGGGGAGGACAAATGGCGAATTCCCTTTTTTTTTCCTTTGGCACCCATTAATTCTCCCAAGAGTTCCTGGGTCTACATTTGAAGCAACTTAGCTACTTTACTTACTATATATAAAGGTGTTGCAGATCGTTAAGCCATCCAAAAAAAAAAAATACTGGTATCAATTTATTTTGAACGCCTCCAAGGTCCGAGAGCATTTAAGCCAGAAGTTGGTTGCACCCAGGACACGCGCGCATTTAATGACGCTTTCTCTTTCTCTCACTCTCTCTCACACACCCACACAGAGCAGCACCTGAGCGACTTCCGAAAGCCTTGCAAAAACCTCCAGATCGTGATTACCGAATGGAAAGGTTATGAGCCGTTTCCGTCTTAATTAAGTCCACGGCAATCGGAATTAAATCCAAGTCGCCTCGCAGTTGCTTGACTTTGCCCGCTGCGGCTATCACTTTGCAGGCTCTTTTGTGCGGCAGCGAAGCTGTTTCAGATTGAGCTAAACTCCGCACGGCAGCATTTCAGCGCAGAGCCCCCACCTCAACCCTTCCTCACGCCTCCAGTGATGTCAATCTGTCACTCAGAGAGCGACCAAAAAAACCCGGAGTGGAGTTTCTTCCCCGCAGCTACACTGTGTTCCTTCTTACTCATTCATGTCTATGAGTTTCTCAGCTGTAATTGTTGTTTACCAGCCTTCTTCATGTTTTTTCCCTTCATGTCACGAAAAATAATAGAAGTGATGTTGCCGTGGCTTGGATTATTAATAAACACGGGTATTATTATGAGTAATAATCTGGAACAGAAAATTTGAAATGCCTCTCTGAGAATATTAATCTTTATTAGCATGTTGTTAATGCATGTATTTGCATTTGTGTATTCTTAGACAAATTGTGGTTGTACTAAACTCATTCGGTGAGTTCAGAAAGGAGAGATGATTCTCCTCACCGATATAATTGTATGCATATTTAAGTAGGAGTAAATTTGTGATGAGCCAATTTGGTGTAGTGGTTAAGGTGTCAGGCTAATCTGAGTTCTAGTCCTGCCTAGGTACAAAGCCAGTTGGGTGACCTTGGGCCAGTCACTTTCTCTCAGCCCTAGGAAGGAGGGAATGGCAAATCACTTCTGAAAAACCTTGCCAAGAAAACTACAGGAACTGGTCCAGGCAGTCTCCTTGAACAGATTTAAAAATAAAAATAAAAATCTGGGATGCTCCAGAGTTTTGCCATCTTAATTCTGATACACAGCGCCTGCTCTGGTAGTTATTCTTAATAAATCTGGAATAAAATAATATCTAATATTATACTCATACGTTACCTTAGCACACTGCTTACATTTGTGGATTACAGACTTATATATGTTTCTTTTTCAAAGGATTGATGTGGATATTTGTTTTATTTATGCATTTTTATCTTTTGTTATAAACAATTCAAAACAAAAATAATGTTTAAAAAAGTAGAATTTTTAATTAAATGTTATTATTAGAGTCATTATATGGCAGCCTTAAAGTCTAGCCTGTGAACTAGTTTCCCCCCAAATACATGTGCTAAACAAACAAGTTTCAATGAGGGCTCTTCTGAATGAGGTCACTCTACATTTATTTATTCAGCTTATAATATGGTTCTCAGAATGGTCCAGGAAAAAAAGAACTAAGAGAAATTAAAAAGAGACAATATATGAAAAGAGCATGAATAACAAAGTCTGTAAAAGGTTAAAAGACTTAATGTACAAAAAGTCTGCAAAAAAATAGCAAAAGGTTTGGAAGTTGATTGTCTGGGTAGGTCACATTATTAGCGTCATGATCTAAGGTTAAGCATCCTCTCTCAGTCTCCCCATTTGTGTGGCCAAGTGCTAAAGTTTAGCAAGGCAGTGGCAGAAGTATATTTGCATTAGTGCCCTTACAATCTCCTCTTCCTCATCTTAAAGCAAGAGCGACTTAACAGTGTTCAAGTCTGTCATGTCCAGCTCCTGTGGATCATTTTGCAAGGCCCCCCTTGCTGAATATTATTGACCATAATTGGTCTATCACCAATCATTATGCTAAAGAATTTTCTCCCATTATTTCTGTTTCCTCTACCCAGGAAAAAAGAAGAAAACATTTCTTCTAATATATTTGTAATGAGAGTTCCCAAAGTCTGGGTGAGAATTTGGTTTTGAATTATTCTGAATTATTTTATGTCCCCAAGAAAAGTAGAAAAGCTGTCTCAAAGACTGGCAGCAAGTCAGAAAAAAAGAAGGGGGATTCTTGTTCTTTTCCTTTTCCTTTCAGTATATCCTCTTCTCTTTATATCAAAGAAACTAAGTCTTCTTTCATCATATCCAGCTAGCTGAAGAGCCCAGTACACTGCCCTGAACAGACGCTCTGTTGGTTTCCCTCCCTGCGAACCCAGAAATCCTTTTCTCAGCAAGAAAGCAAGCTCTCCCTTTCATTCTCTATACTTCCAAGTTAAGGGATGTCCTGTAATGTGGTCAAGTGCCCCCACACTACTACGAATGTGAATGTTACACCTTTTCGCCTTTGCTGTGGCAAGTAGTTTTAACGTTACACCTTTATATTTTGTCTTATTTTTCTTCTTTCCATATCTACAACTGAACTCTGTTTATGTTCCATCAAAGTTAATCACTTCTGAAATTTCCCGCTTTCCTTTCCTTTCTTTGAGGTAGCTCACTCTTTCATTGAATTCAATGTACTAAACTGACCATTCAGAACTCCTTCAGATTTTTGTGTAACTTCCCATTGTAACTATTCTATTCTTGATTCCCTTGTCTCCACTAGTCTCAAATATTCTTTAATATGTAATATTGATTGGTTATTAATTAGCCAGGGGCTAAACATATGTGAACTATGGACAGCAAGTTTCATTTCTGGATTTTTGGAACTCATAAACTGTCTTGTTTTATAAGCTGTACTGTAGAGGGTCCCATTTTATAACATAAGGAGAACAAAGTGCCCCTACAGAGACTGACATCTTAGTTTACTTGGAATTTTCTCCATTTGTTTTTGACAAAAACCCCCAAGCCTTGTTAAGCAGATGGGTATGATATTTATTTTAGATTGTCCCATAGCTTTGTATAATTACTTGTTCTGTAACACTCTTGCTTAGAGTAGATCCACTGGAAAAAGTGAAAGCCATGATAGTCCTCCAGGCCCCTTGAATGTAATGAGATTTACTTCTCCATAAGGATGGGCAGAATTGCCCTCTAAGTACTATTATTTCAATGGGTGAGCTCTAGACAGGAGCAATATAAGTCACAACCCAGAAAATATAGATCAACATCAATACAGTACAACCACAGTTTAACATTAAATCAACATTTCTCTCACAGAATTAGAATGTCAATCATATACATAAGAAAAACAAACAAGAACAGTCCTGCTGGATCAGATTGTCTGTTCTTGCATCGTGTATCGTAGCAGCTAATCAGGTCCATGTTTAAAATCTACCAGCAGGGATTCAGGTGCATTAGTCCCTTCTAACTTGTGCTGCTCCACCACCTGTTATTCAGAGACATCCCCTCTCTCTTAATAATGAACTTACATATAAACTGGCCATTAAACTCCAACTCCATGAAGCCATTTGAACAAATTATAATCTCTACCATGTGGCAGGGAGTACCATAATTTCATTATGCACTTTACAAAGAGGTACTGACATATTCCCCTGAAACTTGTCAAGCAGTCTAACAAAAGTGTATCAAAGCAACACTTTGCAGAAACAGCTGAAGATGGAGCTTTTCTGAAGGTGTCTGGGTGTTGACACCAGGTACTGTTTTGAGACTTGTATCTAGTGTATTTGTTACTATTTGTGATCATGCTATTGTCTTTTTGTGAGCCTCTGAGAGTTTACTTATGATTTCAGCAGAATATAAATTTGATTAATAAATAATTAACAAATCATTTAAAGTTTAGCTTGATGTGAAGTAGGGTACAGTACAAAAGCATATGCAAAACGCTATTGTTAAATATACAGTATATAGTGGTAGTGTGGGGTGTTGGTGTAAGTTATACCAAGTTTGCTGTCTCCATATGTTCTTGATAGAAAATCATCCTTTGAAGAAAAATAGTAGCAATTACAACCCTGAGAACATTTCTTTGATCATCTCAAAGTGATTTAGTGTTTAAGCACACATGTTCAAGAGATTTAGATTATCAGTGCCTTTTTAAGATACATTACAAGGTCATATTATCTGGGGCTGCAAAAATTGGTTAATGTAGTTAAGGACTGCAAATTTGAATCTACTTGTACTGTGTATATGATGAAATGAGCTGGTTCTTTTAATTACATTGATAAAAGTACAAAGAGGATCTATCAAGACTGATAAACAGAACATCACTTCTAAAACAGCTGAGGCTGAAAACTTGTTCATGAAGTAGAAACCACTCCTTAAATATGAACAATATGATTTAAAAAGCAGAGGGTTAGGACTAGTTTAAATAAATTCTTCTTAGATTTGTGAATTGTCCATCTACTTTTAAAGAGCTGGGTCTAGATCTTGCTTAAGAAGCACTTAAAATACAGATGGCATCTTTGAAGAATGTTTTTGGAGGTGTAGACTACCAAATATATATACCAGTATCAGATGAGTAAGATCTCAAATATATTTTTAGGTTCATTCAAACCATCCATTTGCTATATTAATCCAGTCAGCAAATTGGAAGTTCATTGTACATGACAGTCCACAAGATCCTCTTTGGTGTCAGTTTGGTTCAGGAAGTGGATGCAAGTGACCCTATGCCACTTTAACATGTATCAATGTTATTTATGCTTTAGGATGCACAAATAAGAAATAAATACATTTTGTAGGTTTGATTCTGCTGTTAATAGTGTATTTCAATTTGCAATAGACTCTGGAAATAAATAAGAGCCAATCATATGACTGCTAATTCCATGTGTATAGCTTTGATTCACTTAACCCTCAAATAGGGATTCATTCCATGACCACATTTACAAGTTAGGCAACATTCAAGTAATACTTACCAAACAAAAAGCACCACTCCTGTACTGGAGAAATTATTTGTCCATGAAAAGCAGATCGCTCAAGTTTAACTTGATTCAGGGGAGATTCATTCATTCATTCATATCAATTTATGTGGCCACCAGCAATGTACCTCTAGGTGGCTAACAGGAATTAAAATATAATATAAATACAATATATATTAAAAAAAAAATTCCCAGCCAATTAACACAAGGTGGCTCTCAAACATGCCATTCACCAATAGTATTGGCTTGATTACTCTCCTGGCTCCCTTACCTGTGAAGGTCTTCCAAAAAGTAAGCAGAGTTGGGGCCAGCCGAACCTCAGGCAATATGGAGTTCCAGCGGGGAGACGCAGCTACAGAAAAGGCATGCTTTCTGGTCCTGTTAGATGACAATGTCGAATAGATGGGACCTGAAGCATGCCCTCCTGCCTGACCTAATGGGACTGATAGAAAGTATGAGAATAAGGTGGCCCTTCAAATTCCCTGGCCCCATGTCATGTAGGGCTTTATAGGTAATAGCCAGTAACTTGAATTGCACCCAGAAGCAACCTGGAAGCCAGTGCAGCTTGCAAAGGTATAACATAGGCAAAACAAGACACATCCATAATTGCCTAGACCTCTGCATTCTGGACCAATTAAAGCTTTCATAAGTTCTTCAAGGGCAGCCCCATGTAAAGCACATTAGAGTAATACACTTGGGAGGTGACTGAAGAATGAATGACCATGCACAGTGCTTCCTGATGCAGGAAAGGGGGAGTTAGTACATAATACAAAGCTATACAAAAACCACCCGGCCATAGCTGTCATCTGCTCTCCAAACAGGAGGACTTCCAAATTGTGCACCCATTCTGTCTCGAGTAGTGCAGCCCCATCCAGAACTAAGGCTAGAAAATCAGCAGATCCAGAAGGCCCTAACAGCAAAGCTACTCTGTCTTGCTAGGGTTGACTTGAAGCCTGTTCATCTCCATCCAGACCCCCACAGCTTCCAAGCACGGAGACAGAACCTGCACAGCATCACTAGGTCAGTAATGAGTTCATAGGC